GGCTGATCTAAGTCAGAGCACGGCTAACTCACAGATCTAACCCTACACTACCTCTCGGCTGATCTAAGTCAGGGCTCTGCTAAACCACAGATGGAATTGTAATTTAGCATGAGCCCTAACAAATTCTACTCACATGTGATGCAAAGTCCAGGAATCAAACATGAGACTCCAGAGTAGAGAGGCAAGTGATACTGTGACAGCACTCTTGAGATTATCTCATGTATAGAGTATATTTTCTGCAAAACAATAACAAAATATGGTGGCTCATTTCAATTTTTTTACAATTTTTCAAACAATTTTCTTCTCAGGCATCAAAGATTGTAACAAATATGACTGACGCTGTGTTCCAGAATGCTCCAAGGTAGTTTTAAGAAAATATTCCACTCTCATTTCAGCTTAGGCCTAATTTTTTTGGACCATTTCACACCAGAGGTCATTCTCTTGAGAAAAAGATTCTTTGTTTGAGTTCTAATTATATTCATGTGTCTTCTTAAATTGCACAACCATTAAACAAAGGAATGATACTCAAGAGAATGACACATGGTCTGAAATCTGATGGGGGTGGGGGGGGAATGCCCAAGCTATTCAGTTTTTACCAAATTAGGCATAACTAAGAATATTCATGTCCCTCTGTATATGACAGAGCACCTCTTGAGGATGTAACAAACGTAGACAGTCTCCAAACCCCAGCTAGATCAACAAGAAAGAAGAAAGCCAAACCTGCTGAGGTAAGTTCTGTTGATTTTGGATTCTGCATAACATGTGAGTAGAATTCGTCGGGTCTTTCCTTTGATCCAAGCATTTTCTCTAGTGGATTCTTCACACAACACTTAACAAGCTGAATCTGTGAGTTATCCTTGCCCTGACTTTGATCAGCCCAGAGGCTGTTTCAGGGTTTGATCTGTGAGTAAGCCATGTCCTGAATTAGATCAGCCCAGAGGTTGTTACAGGGTTTGATCTGTGAGTTAGCCCTGCCCTGACTTAGATCAGCCCAGAGGTCATTTCAGGGTTTGATCTGTGAGTTAGCCCTGCCCTGACTTACAATGTAGATCAGCCCAGAGGTTGTTTCAGGGTTTGAAAACACTATATTTGGGTTTGCTTTTCATTACTAAGAATCCAGTATTAAAATCAAAACAAAAAGTATACTCAAACTTGTTTTTGTCTCTTCACAGGTAACAGAACCAGCCTCAACAGGAAGAGCTTTAAGATCAACCAGAAAGGTAGGCATAAATGTACAGAAATCCTCCCAAAGAGCCTCATTTATTATTAACTTTGAATGTTTTTTAAGAGGAAAAATGTGGCCATGTCACCATCCTGTAAGGCCAAAAGCAAAGCACAAAAAGTAGATGATTCTGCCATGCCACCTCCTCAGTCAACTACAAGAACCACAAGGTTTGATACCTTTATAATTCTTTTATTCCTATACACCTATTTCAAAAAAAGTTGTTTGAGCCTAAGGATATAGGCTATACAGCCGCATCTAAACATGAATAATCAAGGTAGCATATAAAATGCTTTTATTATATAATTCCAATTGGAATTACAGTGGATGAATAGCTACTCTGTAGAAATGCCACTGCTAAATCCCATTTATTTATTCATTTATTTTATTTATAATTACCAATGAAATATCTATTTTTCTCTATTTCGAAAAATTAATATCTTCACACGTGAAAATAATGTTTTTTTCACGTGTGAAGATAACACCATTGCAATGGCTATTCAAAAATACACGGAAAGAATTGCCTGAAAAAGCCAAAACATACTTCATTGATAATTATATAATAAACAGAATATTACATGGCCACTTGGAGATACAAATTTTATCTTCTCATGTTGAAAATCTCACTCGTGAGAGATCTTTTCAACACTCGAAGATAAAATTCGTATCTCCACGCACCCATGTAATATCCTCTATTCGTCCGCTACAAGCTATCCTGAATATCTCAGCATTAACCTCCATGTTCCTGACGAGAATAATAAAAAGAAGCAAAAATCATTCCAACTCATGTTGGATCTTGGTAGACATTTGGCTTCAACAACTTTGTTGAAAATAGGTATACACCTATTTTAAAAAACATTTACTATCTAAGATCTGAAATAAGAGGTGATCTGAGACTAAATGGAATTTTTGTGCTTTGCTTCATGTTTTCTGACTAAAATGCAAAAAATCATATTAAAATTGTCGATCTTAAAGTTCATGCTTTATGGCCAAATCTAAAAGAAAGCTACACTTTTCGGTTGCAAAATTATTGCAATTTACAGCATGTTACTTCTCAGTCTCAGATTCCAGATCTCCAACAACTTTTTTTGAACCAGGTATATGCATTGTACTAGTGTTTTTAATGCCCACGTACAGGTGTGCTGTACTCATATATATACAGGTCTGTACAGTTAGACACGTCTTTTTCTTTTAACAGGAGTAATGCATCTAAAGTGAACAACCAATTCGTGACCCCAGCAGCTACTGGGCGAGGCAAGCTGCAAACTCTATTTGTGACCCCAAAATTTGATCCAAGGTAATTGAATCAGTGACTCATTCATTTTGATTGTATCGTATTTGACATATGGATGCACGTAATGCATCTAAAGCAAACAACCGATTCGTGACCCCAGCAGCTAATGGGCAAGGCAAGCTGCAAACTCTATTTGTGACCCCAAAATTTGATCCAAGGTAATTGAATCGTATTTAACTCATGGATGCATGAAGCATAGAAATAACATATTGTTGAGGAAAGAATAACTTGATAATCAAGTTTGTCATTTTTTGCTGTTTCAGATTGCCAGTGACACCTGCTTTGTTACGCGAACCAAAAGCTGGAGAAAGGTAGGGATTAGGTTCTTAAAACTAGTGTTACCTGCGATCGTTAACATACTTCTAAATAAGCCCCTCTCACCATTAACACCACAATATTATCATCAAAATTTTAGCGGGGGGGGGGGGCTAATTGAGTTTCTTCCATCAACACAATGGGAAACAATATAAATTTTAAGCATCGTTTTATTTCTGCTGAAGGGAGGGGCTTCAGTCCCCCTTTGCCCCCCTGGATCCGCCCTTGACCATCATCTATCTTTTATAAAGTTTGAAGGTTTTTAACATCTTATGGGAAAATAGCTTTTGAGTCTCGGGGAATCTTTATTGCTCAAGATCAGAAAAAGTACTGTAGGTGGAGGGAAATAATAAATTGAGGGCCTATGTTCCCAAGGGAACAAAGAGGACTAAGCAATCTCAGAATGCCTAGGAATACACTTAACCCGTAATGCTAGGTTTCTAGAGTCATGTCGCAGAAACATGAAAAAGGGGGTAAAGTGTTACCTGAAAGTGTTATCATTCATAGACATTTATATAAGTCCCTCTCATTAATACCATCACAATTCTTGACTTCAACACCATCATCTTCATGGCCATCTATATCACCATCAGCATCTCTTTCACCATCAGCATCATTTTCACCATCATTGTAGACATTACCATCATCATCAGTCGTCATCATCATCACCATTCATGATCATCAGTTATCATCAGTTATACATCATCAGTCATCATCATCCTCATCATCATAAGTTATCATTATCAGTCATCATCGTCAGTTATCATCACTATCACTATTGCCACCATTCATCATCATCATTAGTCATCATCTGTTATACATCATCAGTCAATGTCACCATCATCATAAGTCATCATATCAGTCATCACCATGAGTTATCATCACTATCATCATCGCCACCATTTATCATCTCCAGTCATCATCATTACCATTATCAGTCTTCCTCATCATCTTCATAAGTCGTCATT